TAATCTCAGAGTTGTACTTCCTCACAGAGGGTCCCGGGGGCCTCTGTCCAAGCTGGTGGTCTCCATGCTCTTCCTGTCCTGCTCCCCCCTCAGCGTGTTCCAGACCAGCCCCAGCTCAGTGTCGGATCGACAGACCCCATCTTGCCCTCTGATCCCCCTCCTGATGGGGAGATGGGAGTAATCAAATGTTCATGGCTGTTGTGTATAATTACTAACTGTGATAAGAACAGGCGGAGTCACCAGTCACCTGCTAGTGCCATACGAGGGGTGATGAAATCATTAGACAAGGCATGGCATAATCAGGGGTCAAGGAGGCTTTCTAGGGGAGGAGGAAAGGGTGTGACATTTGTGTTGAGGTGGGAAAGTGAGGAGAAGTTCATCAGAGACGTTTAGGCAAAGGAGGCAGCACGTGCAAAGGCCCCAAAGTGGGAGGAAGCGGGGTGCATCCAGGGCGCAGAAGGGGGGACCCCGGTGCCTGGACCACAGGGAGCCAGAGAAAAGCTCACCCAAGGCCGAGGAGGCTGAGGAGGGCCTTGAGGTCACATGGAGATTTTGGACTTTCTCCCAGGAACCCTGGAAAGGGAGTTATTTGGCAGAGGTGCAGGTGGGTGGGAGCAGGGTGAGTGACACTGTGGACTCCCAGCAGATGCTCCCAGCTAGAGTGAGCACTCCTGTGCCGCCGAGGAGTGGACGGAAGCTCTAGACAAGTGTTGGCCAGCATGCCTCAGCCTTCGGGACGGTGACTGCGCCACCTGGCGACATGCTGGTGGCCTCCGCCTTAGCCTGGAGTGATAGGTCTGAGAACCGCGGCCCCAGGGATGCTCGAGCTCCACGCTGTCGTTTCGGTGCCTCCCTGGGACTCGCTGATGCTTTTTAAGAGACGGCGAGATTCTGAGAAAGGGAGCAACAGCTGACGTAATTCTGGCCACAGTCCACAGCAGGAACTGTGGGTTTCCCCTCTGTCATCGATATCAAGGGCAGAGAAGTGGCAAGCTGCCCAACCCAGCTCCAGCGTCTCTGCAGCCAGCCTGCTGGTTCCCGTCAAAAACAACTTTGTTTTGTTTTGTTGGCTTTGGGGTTCACAAATCTCTGAGCAGGGTACATTCCCCAAGCACTAAAGCCATCCGAGGAGCAACCAGAGACCTTGTCGGGCTGAGGTCAGAGCGACAGACTTGACATCACTTTTAGGAAATCCATTCTCTGGTTGGTTCAGTTTGGTCAGAAGCAAATGCCAACTGGGGGAAGAAACCAGAATTTGGAAAGGCTTTTGTCCTCTTCCTTGTGGCCAGACCTCATGGATCCTGTCCCCAGGAGGTAGGGTGGGAGTGCTCGGGGAGACTGGGCTGGGCCTGACAGAGCCCGGAGTGGGGGGGGGGGGGGGGGCACAGGCCCCTGCCTTCTCTCCCAGGTGCTTCTTTTAACCAAACCTAAAGGCAGAGGAGGAGGACCTGAAGGAAGGAAAGAAGGGAGGGAGGGAAGGAAAGAAGGGAGGGAGGGAGGGAGGGAGGGAGGGAGGGAGGGAGGGAGGGAGGGAGGGAGGGAGGGAGAAAGGGAGAAAGGGAGGGAGGGAGGGAGGGAGGGAGGGAGGGAGGGAGAAAGGGAGGGAGGGAGGGAGGGAGGGAGGGAGGGAGGAAGGAAGGAAGGAAGGAAGGAAGGAAGGAAGGAAGGAAGGAAGGAAGGAAGGAAGGAAGGAAGGAAGACCTTCTCTAAAAAGAATGTTCCCGCCCCCAGTCCTTCCTATGAAAGGCTGATCGCCTAGGGTAGCCCTCACCCTAGAGCCACAGCTACTGGGTCCTGGACCTGCTCTACAATCCTCCCAGCTCAGTGATTTGGGACAAATTACTTAACCTCCCAGAGGCATGACAATATCTATTTCACAGGGTTGGTGTGAGATTTAACTAATTAATATAAAATTAATGGTTAAATACCTAGAATAGTGCCTTGAATATATCAGTACTTGGTAAATATTATTTTCTTCACACACACACACACACACACACACACCCCTGGTTGACAGGAGAAAGTATCCCAGCTAAACTGGTCCTGGTCTCTAACAATTTAATCATCCATTATTTGTGACCATTAACCAGGATCAAGACCTTTATTTGAGGCACTAAGGATATGACGGTGAGGAGATAGCAGTGTCTCTGACACTTAGAGAGCACAAGAATATTGTAGAATATCAGCCACATGAAAATAAACAGCATGTCTGTGACCATGCTACGAGGAAAATGAAGAACAAGGGGATGAGAGTGACAGGGAGGCTTGGTAATGGACAAGGTGGCATTGAAACAGAGATCCTAATGACTCGAGGGAGTGAGACGCGAGGATAAGAGGGGAAGAGCTTTCCAGGCCGAGGGAACAGCCAGGGCAGAGATGCTGATCAGGAGGAAGGGGTCTGGAACATTCTAGGAGCAGCAAGGAGGGGTGGGGGCAATGCGGGAGCAGAGAGGTGAAGGGAGGACAGGGAATGGGGGGCAGAGGGAATGAGGTGGGCTCATGCAAGGCCTTGTGGATAAGGAGCTTGGCTTTGTGCGTGGGCAGAGAATTGATGGGATGGAGGGTACGCAGCTGAGGAGTGATGGGATCTGACAGGTCTTGGAAGGCTCCTTCCGGCTGTGTTTGAACAAGAAGCGCTAATAGTGGGGAGGCCCAAAGACACACGCCAGGGCCTCGTCTTCACAGGTTCCTTCCTCGCTGCAGGCCTGGGAGTGGTGGGCGGGCCTGGATTTCCTGACTGCCAGAGCCAGCCTGCCTGCCTCTCCTTCAGGGCCACACCCTCTGCTGGGGTCAGATGCAGGATGGGAAGCACCAGGCACCACCAGGGGGTGTCTCCAGGGGCCACCAGGGAGCCAGATAAAGTGTTGCCCCAGGCTCGGAGCATATGGGACTTGCATGTGGCCTATGTATGAGTGTGCATGTATGCGTATGTGTGTATGTGTGTACTTTGGTGTTGTATGAATTTCGTGTGTGTGTGTGTGTGTGTGTATGTGTGTGTGTGTATGTGTGTATGTGTGTACTTTGGTGTTGTATGAATTTCGTGTGTGTGTGTGTGTGTGTGTGTGTGTATCCATTCCTGGGACAGAGTTGGAGAATGAGTTCCTCTCTGTTCACCTCCCAGCTCTGCATAGTAGACACTGGTGTCTCTCTCCCCCATGACACTCATTGACCAAGGTCTTGGGCTCCTTCACCCCCTGTGCTCCCTGACCAGAGTCCTCTTCCCCATGCTGCCTGCTGCGACCCAGGCTGATCAGTCCACTCATGGTCTGGGCTTTGTAACTAAGACACCAATGGGATCACACATTTCTTCCCCGCCCGCCCTGAGGGCCGTGGCACTAAATTCATGTGGCAGATTCCGAGTCCTAAAGACAGGGTTGGCAGCTGCCTGGAGGCCTGTTGCCACTGTCCTCTCCTCTATCCCCAGCAGGCACTGCCCACCCATCACACTCATCTTGCCCATTGAGCCCAGACTTGACCTCTGCATCTTTCTTAAATCAGTGCTCCAGGCAGCACTAAAAATCAATTGGACAGGACAAGTAAGATAACATCCAACAACCCTGCTGAAGGTGTTTCGGCTCTGCCTCTGGGGACTCTAATCCTGTGACACTAACGATAGAACTTTTGGCCACTGCATCCATTTGCTGAGCAAAAGAAGGAAGTGTGGCGAACCACTAGCTCCTGCACAGCAGGTCTATTCAAGTAGGGGCCCAGGGCCTCGCCCTGAGCACTCGGCCCAGGGGTCAGGGCCCAAGGGAGGACAGAGATTGCTGGCAGTACCAGCCTCTGACTCCGAGTTCCTCCCTGGCAGGTTGTGGGACCTTGGGCAGGTCGGTTCACCTCTCAGACCCTTGGCTTGCATTTGCTGCCCCGTCCCAGGATTGTTATATAGTCCAATGATAAGATACATGTGAATGTTCTTTGAAGCTTATAAAGCGCCCTACGCATGGAAGGGGCGAGGGACAGTGACAAAATTCTGTTCTGCTGGTGGCTTTACGCTGATCTGAGGTTTTGGCTTGGGGTAGGATTCCACCCTGTAAACCTCAAGGGTCCCAAGTTTGGTGGTTCTGTGAGTACTGACAGCTGGGCAGAGACATCGCTTAGATGTGCAACAAGGCCAAATGTGTCCGGGAAGGAGTCACAGAGCAGGTGTCTGAGGTCCTGACCCTGATGCTGCGCTGACCTGCCGTGTAGCCCTGGCCAGACTCTTAACCCCTTGGCCAAAGGTGGATGAGGTTTGCGCATTCTTCCAAGTCCCAAGAGGGTAAATGATGATGGAACCAAAACTGCCATTCCAATGTGAGTTGTTACTACTTGTAACTGGCACAAAGGGGCAAAGCATTGGGCTCCACTGCAAGGTTTCCATCAGCTGGAAACTGATGTGTGACTTCCCCAAGCAGGAAAGACCCTCAGGCAAGAGGGTTATGGGGCTACATCGCTGTTTCTCCTCGGCTGCCCCAGCCGACCCGTGGCCCTGCTGAAGCCAGGAGGAGCTTGGCAGACTGGCTGGGCCAGCAGTGCTGGGGCCACGGCCACTAAGCCTCAGACTTGGGAGAGGCAGGGAGAGGTGGTTTCCTGACTCTTTAGCAGGCAAAGATGAGAGAAGGGAGAAGGAGACAGTGGAGGGAAAAGAAGGGGAAAAGGAAGAGGAGACCAGCAAAAGCTGGAAGGAGCAGAGTTGGAAAAGGAGTGATAGAGGAAGGGAGCTGTCGCTCCCTGTTCAGAACGAGAATTTTCTAGGGGAGGGACTGGTCTTCCCACTCAGACAGGGTCTCCCTAAGGGTAGGCCCTGTGCCTCCCTAATTGGAATGTGCCCCCCAGAGCAGGGGCTGGGCCTCTCCCAACAGACGGTGGGCTCCCCCAAGCAGGGACCATGGATAGCGGAACATCCTCCTCCCAGACTATCCAAGGTGGGTGGCCTGCCCGGGGGCCCCCACACTCCTGGGGTGCAGACCTCCACCTGGCTGACTCCTCTGCTCCCCTCTCCTCTTCTCCCTGCCCAGGGTTCACGGACACCTTCAACATGGACACCAGGAAGCCACGAGTCATCCCTGGCTCCAAGGCCGCCTTCTTCGGCTACACGGTGCAGCAGCATGACATCAGCGGCAAGAAGTGGTGAGTGAGAGCTGCCACCCCACGCAGCCCTGTGCTCCCCACTCCTGGCCCATCCCCCTGCCCCTGGACCCCAAAGCTGCCAGACTGGTCCTCACATGAGGACACCCCATTTCCGGTGACTTGACTTCTTCTTGTCCTGGCAGGTAGAGGCTGCATTAGATCTGCCCCTGACTATGAAACCTACATCTTCTCATCTGAGAATGGGAATGAACACCCCTCCTTCTCCAGGTCATGTGACAGCACAGTCAGCAGGTGCCCAGAGACCAATAGTTACCCCCTCCCAGACCCTCTCAGGGCCTCGGTATCTCATCCCGTGCTGGCTTCTTAGAGAATTGGGTGGGGTCTCTGAGGGGGTGGGTGTGCACGTGCTCACAAGCTAGTACATAGACATTGGTGGAGCAAAGGGAAGTGAGAGCGAGACGGAATGGAGGAGAGGGCCAGGAAATCCCAGGACCCCTTTCAGGAGGGGGTAATCGATTTGCCTATGTTTTTCAAAATAACTTTACTGGATGATATGTTACATATAAAATTCACTCATTTCAAGTGTACAATTCCATGAATTTTTTAAGTAAATTGACCAAGTTGTGCAGTATCCCTGCAAATCAGATTTAGAACACTCGCATCACCCCAGTCAGATCCCCATGCACATGTGCTGTCAGTGGCCATTCTCCGCCTCCCTCCAATTGGTTTTCAGCTGACAGAGGCAAAGCCTTCTTTCCATCCAGAAACAGAAAGGGCGGGGCCTCTGCCTGGCCCTCCTAGAAGCCCTTGCAGAGTTCGGAGACCATGGGATACTGGCATTTAATGCCCTACGCCGCCCTCTTCCAAATCTTACCCTCCCCAACTGCTCACCCCCCCAACCTCTTTTCTTCCATTCCCCCACCTCCTTTATTGTACTCCACACTCATCACTAGTAAAATTGCTTTGTAGCCATTTTTCCAGAAATCTAGACCTGCTTTGCACATGCTGGTCCCTCTTCCCATCTTGTTCCTTCCTTCCATGTTATCCTCTCCCACCTTCCCCACTCAGCCCACTCCACCATTCAGATCTGTCTGAATACCTGTGACAAAGATAGAGTTGGGGGGGGAGAGAATTATAAATATAAACATAAACATTAGAGAGAGGAGTATCTGACTTGATATCTTACCGTTAAGATGTAACTTAGATACTCTAAGTGTAGACATCTTAAGTATACAGCTCGGTAAACTTCCACATATGTGTATACCTGTGGAATCACCACCCAGAACATGATGAACATAGAACATTGGAAGCTCCCAGAAAGCTCCTTTGTGCCCCCGCCCACTCAGTGCACCTCCAGGGAACCACTATCCTGGCTCCTGTTGCCACAGATTTCTTTTGACAGTTTGTGAGCTTCGTACGGATGCACTCACACAGTAGGTACTCATTTGTACCTGACCTGCTTTACTCAGCATCACGTCTCTGAGGTTTGGCATAGTGATGAATGTATGATGCTTCATGCTTCTTCACTGGTGTGTAATAATCCATGGTAACAACACACTGCAATTTATTTCTTCATTCTGCCGTTGATGACCATTTGGATTGTTTCAATGTGGGCTATTTTGAATAGAGATCCTATTAACATTCTTACCCAAGTCTTTTGATGGACAGACACGCTCATTCGTATGGGGTACACTTATGCACTCATTTTTATTGGGTGCAGACTGCTGCTTCCGTTTGGACTCTAGTTCCCCGTGATCAATAGCCAAGTGCTGTCCTGAGCGAGTTGGGTAAATGTGAGTGTAGTTCCTGTGCTTACTGAGCTCGGTGCTGATTGCTGCCCAGCGCCTGAAAATGGTTGTCTAGTATATTTTGTCTAGTTTTCATAATTGTTTATGGCTGCAATCGAAAGTCCTCTTTCTTATTCTCTTATCAACTTCAATACTACGTTCTCTAAAAAATCATTTATCAAGCTGGATAGTATGCCTGTCTCATCGTCTTTCTTCCTGAAATGAGGGATTTAGCAGTTTCTCATAGAACTTACTTTGAAAACTGGATTATGGCACTTAGCAGATGCTCATAAGAACATAATTTGAAAAACCGGATTAATTATTTGAGCCTCTTTCAACCATCCCAGGCGTAAGATACACAGCATCCATAATCTTTTCACATAAAGCATTAAAAATTAAATGGGACTGGCTCTTCCAAGATATAATTTGTTTTGACCAATATTTGTTTATTAAGCATCTGTTAATAAATGTTGCCAGGCTCTGCAAAATATTGATTTTGGTAAAAACATGGCTTCACTCCCGAATAACTCACAGACCAGTTGAGGAAGCCACACTAATATCCTTGAAATAATTAAAAAACAGTTTAAGACAAAATATGACCCGGTGTTAATTATGTTCATCTGTGTCAGACACTTTCTCCATGGAGACCTTCTCTTTGCTGGCAGTGGTCTTCCCTTCCCCACGCCTCTCTCCGCGACACAGATCACCTCCCACCTCATGTTAGAGCTGCTTCAGCCCGCAGTCCCGGCTCTTCCTACCTCCAGAGTGTGGACTGCCTGGCTTTTCGTCCTCACGCCAGAGCTTGCACACCACGGTCTGCATTTCCTGGGCCTGCCATGGGGCCAGAGAACCTGTGTTTTAAAAAGTTCCCCGGGAAGATTCTAGCAGGGGACTGGGGCCACAGAAGCGCACCATCTCCACCAAGGGGAGGGAGATGCTGGTGGGAAACAGCATCGAGCCTCAGCCTCTGCCCCAAACCCAGGTCCCAGCATTGCCCCCGAGCAGGGTCCACAGCTGTCCCCCACCACAGGCTCCCACGGGGTCTGGTCCCCACTGACCAGGTTGGGAGCCTTCTGGAGCCTCCAGGACAGCAGCCCCTGGTGTAAGTGACTGGGGAAGGTGGGACACTGGAGGGGCTGCCACTGGATGAACTCTTCCCCTTCTGCCCAGCACGTCCCCAACTCAGACCTCAAACTGCGCAGCGCTGGCCAGGCACCCACATCTTGAACAGCTTCCCCGGGCCTGGGTTTTAGCAACAATAACAACACTCACAGGCACACAAGAAGGAAAAGAAAACAAATTCCTCTCGGCCTGAGTAGTTTCTGCCCCTGCGCTTTAAGCCCTGGTGCGTTTTCAGAGAAATCTAATCCACATGCCTCTACTGCACGTACGTTGAACTCATTAAGTCGGTTGGTCGGGTAGAACACTGGATGTCCTGGAGCCCAGTGCAGGGTTGGCAGAGGGCTTCCCGGGCCTCTGGTCCCTTGGCACAGGAAGCTTCGTGGCGCTGAGATAACACAGAGCGGGGCCCCACAAGGTTCCAATTTGTCACTGAGGCTCACGCCCCTGGAGGGAGAAGCCTCAGCTGTCAGCAAGGCCGGACACTCAGCCTCCTCCCTCCCCTGGGGAGCAGGAGCCTGACAACACGCACGGGCTCCACCAGGAGACCCCTTTGAAACTCGGCGGCCTTTAGCAGGCCAAGGTGAACCCAGGTCCAGGGACATGAGCCACTAGTAAGAGAAGTAGGCTTGCCCCCACTTTACCGGCATGGCAACTGAGACTCTGAGAGAGAGATGACATAATTAGCAAGTGTCTGAGCCAGGTCCAGAGCCCAGATCTTATTAGGCCCAAGTGGAGGGGGTTGCACAGAACAGAAGCAGCCCCAGCCCTGAGGCTGGCCGGGAACATACCGTCTCCAAGGCCTGTGTCCTTCCTCACTGGCTATGCTGCCGGCCCCAAGAGAGAGCTGAGGCTGTGGTGTCCTCGGAGCCCATCCCGAGCACAGTCACATAAACAGCATGTGGGGAGGGTAAGTGCGTGGGCCACTTACCGGGAAGAGAGGGCGTATGCTCCCAGAGCCCAGCCCTGGGTGATAAATTCCAAGAGAGGGCACCCAGAAAGAACTTTGGGAGGTCGAGTAAGGGAGAGTGAATTCCTAACTCAGCAGGACTGGGTGGAGGGAATCTGGAAAAGAAGAAGCCACATTTAGAGAAAGGACATTGTCTCGAGGAACTGGAGGACAAGATGCGGAAAACAGAGCAGTGAGACCAAAGACTGGGAGGGCGAGGATTCTATTCTACTTCGGAGGTGTCTAAGTACCAGGGCAAAAGGATTGTCTATGGGCCCTGGCAGGTCTGACTCAGTCGGTGGAGCACGGTCCTGTGCACCGAAAGGTTGCCAGTTGATTCCTATCAGGGCACATGTCCAGGCTGTGCACCTGAAGATATTTATTTTTATTGATTTGAGAGAGAAAGAGAGAGAGAGAAATATCAATTGGCTGCCTCCCGCATGTGCTCTATGCAGGAATCAAACCTGCAACCTAGGTTTGTGCCCTGAACAAGAATCAAACCTACAACCTTTTTTGGCTCCAACCAACTGACCAGGGCCACCAGAGTTGTAACATTTAGGGTGATCAACTTGGCTACCATGTGGAGGATGGAAGTGAGAGAAGAGACCCGGAAAGTGGGAGTCTGGTGGGAAGGCTGTAGAAGACTCGGTGAGTGGAGGGTTGAAAGCGTGGGGTCTTGGTGAAGGGGCCTGCTTTGTGAGCATCAGTAGTTCAGTCATTCATTCTTGAGAACCTGTGCTAAGTCTGGGAAATCAATGGTGAACAAAATTGCCAAGTCCCTACCCAGATGCAGCTTTTCTTCTGATGGAACAAGACATATTTTTAGTTTGTCCATCATCTATTGGATGGTGAGATGTACAACTGAGAAGCATTAGACAGAAGAAGGGGCTTGGGAGCAGTGGGTGAGGATGCAGGCTGCTGCCTTATACAGACCACCAAGGAAGGCCTCAGAGCTGGGTGACAGCCTCAGAGACTGCAGGAAAGGGAGACTCTCAGACAATCAGAGATATTGGAGCAAAGAGCATTCCAGGCAGAGGGAATGGCAAGTGCAAAGGCCTGAGGTGCTTAGAAATCGTTTACCTCCACCCCCTTATTTTACAGACGAGGAAACTGAGGCCCAGAGACTATACCAAGGTTACACAGCAAGCCGGTGGGAAAGCCAGGACTGAAGCCAGGTGTCCCAT